TTTTTTTGTTTTAGTATTTTGAAGTTGACCAATTGTTACTATAAGCAATTAATGATTATAGATGATCTGCACCGTATGAGTTTTCACTTGAGTTACGCGGTCAGCCCTAATATTAAAAAGAAATATTTAATTTAATAATAAGAGTGGTGATTTTTCATAAATGGGAATTGGACTAGGAAAATCAACCTCTCCTCTGATTTTTTATTTTAATCTATTATACAAGGGTTACAATTGGAAAGAGATAGGGCTTGGAATACTTTCTTTAAAAACATGTGTAACCAATTTTAAAAGGACTGATTTTGCTAGTCCAATTCCCACAAAATGTCGCGACTTTTTTACAACAAAATGTAGTACACTTTTGTCCAGCACGGCGTGCCATAGTTTACTTTTTTTTTTCTACGACACTTTTGAATAAACTTGGAGAGATATCTATCTTTGCTTGGAATCCCTCTCTTTCACTTGGAATTCATCTCCACCTTCACTTGGAATCCATTTCCACCTCCAAGTGAAGACAAAACCACTTCCAAGTGAAACAAAACCACCTCCAAGCGAAGATAATTTTGCCTCCACTTCGATAATTAGAAAAATATCTACATTTATTATTTTTTTTTCTTCTGATCACGCTAATAGAAATGGTGAATATTTCGAAAATTGGATGAATTCTTTCTTTCCCGATGCTGAGTTTGTACATGTCAAAAATAGCAAAAAGGCGAAAAATATCAAATAGCTATTCATAATTAAATTATTTTTTCTAATCAAACTTAGTATCTTAGATTCGGTCATGTACATTTTTCAAATAGAGAGTTGGTTGGGTATTTTATTATAAATATGCAAATCAAAATTTCCGAGGACCAGATAACAATATCATAACATTCACTGCGGCTACAACAAGGGAAACTGTCCCAGGGTTGGCAAATGTGCGGTCCGTTGATGGTCTATTGGTGGCCCATTGGGTCCATTAGTGTAACACTTTAAGCATATTTAGTATTTTATTAATGGCAATGGACCATCTGTTCTCAATGGACCAGTCAATTTGCCAACCCTGCATTAATCCTACCAACAATGCTAATACAATTTCACCTACCAATAACCCCATTACAATTTCAAACACAATCAACACTACTAATGATAATCGAATTTTTAATAACAGTGACCAAGAAGTTTCTAGTGACAGCAACCATTTAAAATTATATTTAATGACAGGATGTATAGTTTGTTCGAAACTAGGTATATGATTCTTGTTATTAACATTTATAAGATAAGATTAAACTAATGTTGTTTGTTTTATTTCATTTTGGGACTGCAATGAGTACATAATTATTGCAAGTGTCCCCACGATACATGTCAGTTTAGATATTGCTGTCGAAGTTGATGGTTCCAATAAGGTCCCAATAAGGTTATTTTTATTATAAGAACATACCAGACATTGGACTGCGACTCCAATTAAAAATCATTTCAAAAACGGAGCTTCATTTGAGTGTGAAATAAATTTAAATTCAAAGTAAGATTTTGAATTTTGAATTTTGAATTCAGAATCCACATTATTATTAGATTAATAATAAAATTTATTTAATATATAGAGTATACCATCATAAGAAAATCAAATTGATATGTAGTGTCATATAATAATTAAAAAAAAAGAAATAACACCAATGTTCACTTGTTGCAGCATGTCGTATTAATATGTAAACTTCGACAAGTCGGTCACATAACCCACCGACCTATCGTGATTATGACGTGATAAATTATTGTCCACTATTTTATGCGACGTGCCACATAAATTATATGCGTTTATCACATGTTGTATATTTCTTGATTTTTGAATTGCAAATTCACATAGTGATAGATTACACATTCACAAATATAAATAATAATGACAAGTCCGGTTAGTAGAAAAGTAGCAGTTGCTTTAGATCCAGGTTCAGAAGAAACAGAGTACACAATAGATTGGATTATAGAAAATTTCTTAAAACCTGATAGAGATGACGTACACTTGGTTTCTGCTTTATACCTTAACTCAGATTTCGATGTAACAGATTTGGGTAAAAAAAAACCATTATATATAGTTTATATAGTTATTTGATTATAATAATACATTTTTTTAATGATAATAATTGTAGGCATGAACATTAATTATGCTCCTGAATATGTTAAAAAATGGGAAAATGAAGTAAAAAAATTTTTCATTTTATTTTTTTATTTGGTCATAGTAGTAGTTATTATATAAAATTTTTAATTATTATTATAATTATTGGAGATTGAAGGAAAAACGCGAAAATCAATGGAACCATTTGTTGAAAAACTCAAAGCAGCTAATGTACATAATAAATATATAATAATCATATAGTAACATCCAATTAATTGATATAAATACTTTACTTGATAGATAAATTGTAAAGTTGAAATAATAAAAACCCAATCAGATTCGCGTAATCTTATAGTTGACTATACTGAAAATGAAAAAGTTGATGTACTTGTTATGGGAAGTAAAGATTTGACTTTGTGGAAAAGGTTGGTTAATGTTATTTTTTTTAAAAAAAATTTTTATTATAGAAAAAGATTACTAAATTTATATATTTAAAGATTATTTTTAGGAAGTTTTTCGGAATATTGTCAACATAATGCACATTGTCCTGTTCTAATTGTTAAAAAACCTAGAAAATAAAGTTTCTATATTATATATATATATATATATACATACACATATATATATCTCTATAAAATCTGTTAAACTGTCATATTCTCTACTCTTAGTACATTTTTCTTGTAGTGTTCCCATTGAATCTTTATTTGCACTATATATACATATAAGTTTACCACATAGCTTTATCAATCAACTAGAATAAAAAAACTTCTATTTTTAAAAACTTTGAAAAAAAAAAAAAAGAAATAGCGATGTTTATCACATGTTTGATGATTGCTCTTTGAAAAATTTTAGCAATGATAAAAAAATTGGGAGCAAATTTAAATTATGTGATTCCAAGCATTCTTAAAAGAACTAAAGGTTCTAATGTTTCAACGATTGCTTCACAACCAACTCAACAACCATATACAGAGTCCATAATTATAAGTAATTATAGTTTTTTATTTTCTGTCTTTTTATGATATTAATAATAACTTTTTTTTTTTTTTATTTGGGGAAAATTTTTTATAAAGAACCTTTTGTTAACCTTCCAATTAACGATCCAATATATTCAAAACAATATCTTATTACAAAATCAAATCAATTATATAATTGGTTCGAAAACCGTAGAAAGTATACATATACATAAATATATACATACATTAATAACCAAAAAAAAAAAAACAAAATTAAAGATTTGATTTGCATTTATAAAATTAGTTTAAAACTTTATCTTAATGGAAAAATTAATAAAAATATGCTTGCAAAAAAGTTCATTGATCTAAATAAATATTTTGCAAGGTAAATATATAAAATTTTTTTTTGTTAAAAATTTTCTTTTTTTCATTACATTTAATTGCATCTAACAACCTAAATTATTGTTTAATTTAGCGGTGAATTGGAAGCTATAGAGGAACTTGTTACCCCAGAATTTTATCGTGTATTTAATTAATGATTATTTTAAAGAATTTCCAAAATGTTATATATGTAGAATAATTAATCAAAAAACATAATTTTAGGTTATAAAAAGAAATTTATTAAATCGACATCTAGGAACATATTATTGGAATGTCTATGACCAAATAGAACCTAAAGTTGAATGCATTCGTGCTGCATCTATAGTACTGGATTCTAAAACATCCTTATATACTCAAGTAATATTAAGCATTGAAATTGATGAGGTAAAGTTTTATTATTACTATTATTATTAATTATTATTATTATATTCGTCGTTATTGTTTTATTATTAAAACAAATAAATCTATTTTTTAAAAATATACATATAAAGAATTTAGTAGTATTTGATATATTTGGAAATATACTTGCAGGAAATAAAAATTACAGTCAAAAGACTACAAGATATGTTGTGTATAATTATAATACAAGAGACAGACCAAATCAATGGATAATAGCAGGAACTTATGAGCCTAAAAAAATAACTAAAAGTTTTTTTAAAGAAACTGGTTTATGGATGTTAAGCTTAACAAGGGAAAGATTTAAAAATTATTTGAAAAATATGAAAAATAAATATTTGTAAGTCTTAAAATTTTTATCATCATTTTAAGAAAAACAAATCTTACATATATTTAAATTTTGATGCCTATTTTTTTTTATTTAAAAATTCCTTATTTAATAAAACACCAACTTTCCTATCTACTTTGATATAAACAGATAAATAGATCCATTAATCATTTAAGTGCTTGATTAATTGATTTTAAAATATTCTTTCTTTTAACATTTTTTTTTTCATAATTTTTTTCAAGTAATAAATCCTTAGAGATTTCTTCATTAATGTTATTCTTGCTATTCAATCCACCTAATAATACATCATCATCATCCTTTTTCATATTTGAAATTTCTTTTTGTTTTTTGTGGTTGTTTAATTTTTCCCTGTCAGAAATACCAAGAGCATCTATAATATAT